TATGGAAAACCTGTAAATTAGTTATCATTTTCCAGATATAGAATCTAATTATTGGCAGTTTGCCTTGAATTTATCTCCCTCCCAGTGCTATAGCAGGGAAAATACATTGGGGGGGGGCAGAAGAGGGGGGCAGGTAACCTCTTTGCTCTCTGATTCCCCACAAGCCTTTTCCCTTGGCAGCCCTTTCCCCCTCTCCTTACTGTCAGACCCTGCACTTCCTGATCACATGGGAATGAGGAGCAACTTTGTAAACAATAACTTTGTTAATTAAAAAATGGCTATAGCCACTTGCATATAGTATCCGCAATAAGTTCATCCAGAATTTATGCATGTACCTTTTTTTCTAAACTGCTGCAAATTTTAACATAGGTAATGCACAGACACACTTTTGAGTAGCACTTTGGCACTTGTATGCAATAAAAACTTTCTTTTTTAAAAACATCTTTTTTTCAAGGCCAAATCAGTTCCAAATTCAACTAGGCAAAGCCCAATAGTTAGGTTCCAAAATTCAACTGAACAAGGCTCGGTTATCAAGTCTGCATGGCTCTAACACTGGGCAAGTATCCTTCCTCCCAGACCCATTGGTCTGGGGCTTTGGGTCCCCTCCAAATTGAGGCAGGTATTCTTGTGCAAGGCCCAGACCCAGAGGCCTTAGGGTTCAGATGCCCCCCTGTCTCTCTTGCTCCTATCCAAAAGGACAAACTTTTCTTCAAGACCAAATCAGTTCCAAATTTAGTTGGGCAAAGACCAATGGTCAAGTTCCAAAATTTCAACTGAGCAGAGCTCAATCATCAAGTCTGTCTGGCTCTACCACCAGGCAAGTATCCTTCCTCCCAGACGGGTAAGTGTAGAGTGATGTGTGGTTTTTAATAAAATAAAAAAAAAAATATATAAGGTTCCTATCAGCATGTTTGCCCAGTATGGGCCATGTGTTTTATAGTCATGCTTAGTGTTGGCTGCATTTAATCAACTTAATGGTTGATTTCCATTGCTGAGCACATGCCAACAGCAGTTTAATGATGGACAGTATATTTAATGAGATTTTCTTGTATGCGATTATAAGATGAGGGGCTTGTTTTCCCATGCCGATTTGGGGAAAAAACCTTGTCTTGTATTCAAGTAAATATGGTAACTTATTTCAGTGCTTACTTTGCAGAGGGACCAGTCAGTTCTGGTGGGGCAACAGCCAAGCAGGGGAAAGCCTGAGCATGTGCTTATCTGCTAATCTCCTTGCATCACTCTTCAAAGGATCTCGAACCAGGGTGCTGGTTGAGAATCACAGCCTTATTACAGAGCCTTACCCTTGTCAGACCCACCTATATGGCTACATTCACAACAGTGCAGTGGGAATGATTCTTAATGGATTTTTGCATGTGTTTTAGTAGTGCATTAAACAAACCCACTCCATTAATTCATTTGAAATACATTGTCAATATGTATGTCCTTCCTGGGTTTCTGTTTGTAAGTGGTTTGTGGATTTTGCTGGTACCATACCACAACTTCATGAGAGAGCTGACATTAGCTTTGGCCAGTTAGCAGCATGGAAAAATAATTTCTTAGGTTGCATTTTGTTCAGACATTGTACTTGAGAAGAAATCCATAATGGATAATTTTTGCAATAACATGATGGGAAAAGCTTCTGCATAACTCTGTGTAGTGAGGGTTGTCTTGCATCCCAAAGCATGCACAATAGCCTTGGGGGAAAAAATGAATCTAGTTAGTGTTATATTGTTCATAACGGCTTTAATCATTGCTCAGAACCCCACTCAACCTTTTCACTTAAGACCTTGTGGCAATGAACACTGTGAGAATTGTATTTATATAAGTACATATGTGTAACGCTACTTTTAATTGTTCCTTTTATTATGAGTGACCTTCTGTGTACCATTCACTATTTTATCTACTTCTGTCATGCTCAATACATTTATTTCCTCTATAAATTTAAATAGTTTTAATCTGTTCCTACATGGAAGTCTTTCCCAGTCTGTAATCCTTTTTGTTCCCTTGTCTGGCGCTTTACTTTTTCTGCTATCCTTTATAGATTGATAGCACTGAACTTCTGGTATGGGCAAGCCTTACATTTATATGATATACTATTTTAAATCTGTATCAAGAAAGGAATAGAGAATAATACTAACATTTTATTCGGACATTTTTTATGCTTTGAGCTCATTACAGTAATGCTTAGGTCTCTCTTGTCAATGGTTTCAGTCAGTTTAGAACCTATCAGTATGACTAAGTAGTTTAAGAACAGATTTTCTGTACACACACTTAGTTTTTCAGTTGATCAGAGTTAATTCCATGCTAGGCAATGGCATGTGTATGCAGAGCACTAGTCGGAGCTTCTGCAGCAGAGCCTGTGGTCATGGTACATGTGCCCTGTGCTTAAAGGTCATAGGGGAGAACTGCCCTGACATCTCAGTTCCTTCTCATCACCTGTGCCTGAGGGTTTCTGGCTTGCTTGGTGCTTTTATTCATTTTTCCTTGTCACCTTAGTAAGTTTCCTTTACCTAAAATTCCATTTTAAATCCCCTGCAGATGTGCCAGAAGTTTCCTATGACATAAATGCAGTTTTGCAATGATTGTTTGGCTCACTGGGTTTTTCTAATGTTGGTGCTTTGATGCTGCTCTTGCACACCATGCATTTCCTAAACTGAATTTATCTATGGTTGCAATGTATTTTTGTACTGAGAAGCAAACCATACACACTAAAAATATATATGGTTGGTCAAAATGAAATACGTATTTTTTTAATAGAACAGGAGTGCTTAAAACAATTGAATGGTCTGCTATCAAGTTTGTGTCAGTTTTCTGTTAAAATGTGGAACAGTCACCATACGGACACATGGCATGGTAGGCAGGGTTTGGAGAGGGAAGGACAAGCTAGAAATGAGAGTGGTAATCTCTGCATAGCTGGCTGCCCTTTGCAAAATGGCTTGTACTTTCACTGATTGTGGTAAAGTCAAGTCACCATTTTGAGGTCATAAAAGGAGGGAAGTAGAATTTGGATAATCTACTAGGCCACATCTGCCTGAGATGGTGGCATGAACTTCAGGAAGTAGAATATCTGACACATTATAGCACGGAACATCACTGCTTTTGAAACACTGGCAAGGGTATGAGACTTACAGTTATTCTCAGGTGACCAGCTACACCATGGGTGGATCCAGGATTTTATGAAGGGGAGTGTGAGAGCACTGACCAGTGCTGCAGGGGTGGCTGTAACCCCACTCCCACTCTTTTCTCATACACACCAGGGTGGACAGACCATGCTGCAGGAACAGCAGCTGGGGACTTTTAAGCCCCTTAAACAGGTAAAAAATCTTCCTTCTCCCCTCCCTTCCTCTCTGTGCTCAGCTGCATCTTCCCTACCCTCCTGCTGCCCTCCCTTCCCCTCTTCCTGCTGCTTCTGCCCTCATTTGGGGGGGTGGGGGGGGAGGAGGCAGACTTTCAGAGTCATTTCTGCCTTGCTTCAGCCAGGCTGCCCATGGATCCAAGCTCTGCTAGAGATAGCAGGATGGGTTCCCTTTCCCCATGCCTGTTCCCAAGCTGGCAGGGAACCACATGGGGAAAGGAACCTGCCCCTGTTGTCTCTGGCTGAGCTTGGCTGTGCGCAGTCTGGTTAGAGTGGCTCTTGGGCTCCCCACTCCCACCCCCAGGGGTGCTGGAGACAGCAGCAGGGGAGGGGAGGGGACATACTTCTGAGCACTGAGGGCGAAGTGGGGAATCCATACTTGTTTTGGGGACTTAAAAAAAATTCCTGACTCCTGTGGCATGGTTAACTGAAAAGTGGGGGTGTCCATGCCCCTGCTTCTCCCTCTTTACCCCTGCCCTCCCTGACCTGTCCCTGAGCTGTACTATGAAAGTGTTTTCAAGGCCAAAAGAAATGTTGGTAACATGTATTTGGTGCTGGATGTCCAGTCTATCTTGGGGGAAGGGGATATGTTTCAGGTAGTGCCTTGTATGTCAGAGGTCCTGGTTTTTGAGCATATCTTTGTCCATGGAGTCCATCTTTGGTCCTGGACTCCACTTTCCTTTGTGTGTATTGGCAGTATTGGAGAGGACATATGGGTGTATTTGTGTTCCATGACAAAATCCTGTTTGTGTCTCTGTAATATGCTCAGGTGGCTCAAAAAGCAGACTGTTGGAGGTCTCATTTCTGACCTTTGTTTTCTTGTAAGGCATTTTCATCTACTTTTTATTTTAAGGTGGTGCTGCCTAAAGTCCTGGTTGTGACTCTGCTCAGGCACTCCTTTATCAGTAGCCTAAAAAACATACGTGTTTTGCTGTCCAGACTCCACAGTCATCTACCTAAAATGTGAGGAGGTCTAGGAGTTCAGCACTGTTATGTTGGCTGCATCAGAAGGCATGGTGTAGGGCTAGGATGAAATGATTCCATAAGCATACAAGTGCAAATGGAGAAATGGTTGCTCACTGGCATTTGAACACTATCATTTTGCCCCAGTCAGCATGATCCTACAGCAGTAGAGGACACGTAGCTTAACAGAGTGGCTGTTCTGTGGGCACAGCGCAATGCAGGAGAACTTCCAGAACCATGTACAGCACAGATGTGATCACATGTCCATGAGGATGCAGTAACTTAGTGTAACATGAAATTAGTGCAGTTTCAGATGGAATGACAAACAGCACCATGCCTCCTCATTTACTGTATAGTAAGGAACTGCATCATGTGGACACAAGTCCTTTTTAACAAATAGTAACTTGTCTTAATTTCAGATTAAAACCTCAGGTAGACAAGCCTGTAGAATTTGTTTGCCTGTTAGAGAATAATGAATAATAGAAACAGTGAATTTTATAAAAACTAACACTAGATAACCTCTAGCACTCTTGCAAAGAGAAGGGGATTAGATAAATTTGATTTCTATTCGAACATAACTACTTACATAATTAAATGTCACATGCTGGTAGTTCTTAGGAAAACAAGTTGTTTTATTTAATTTCACTCAATGTTAACTATTCTCTTTTTTTTTTTTGTGCAGGTATATCAGAACCTTCCTTTATTGCAAAAAGTGAAGATCGCTTATTTAAGCACTTGTTTCAAGACTATCAGAGATGGGTTCGCCCAGTGGAACGCTTGAATGACACAATAAAAATAAAGTTTGGTCTTGCAATCTCCCAGTTAGTGGATGTGGTATGTATGTTAAATTCCTTTAAAACAAACTACAAGCAAAGTTTTCAGAATAGAGAAGTGCTTATGAAAAAAAATAGTACTGTAATTGTATATATCTGGGATTTTAAATACAAAAATCTAAGAACCGGATGAGAATGCAAACCACAGAAAGAGAGTGTCTCTAAGTGAAGACGAAGGATGACCAGGAGGATGTTCAAAGCAGAAGACTGATGAGAAAAAGTAGCCTTTCAGCCTAACAAGATTCACATCAAACTTTAGTGAAGCTTTAGTATTTGAAGAGTTATGTTTTCTGTTCGTTCAAATTTCAAGCAAGAAAGAGCAATATTTTTTATAAACATGGTAATCTGTTTTATTGTTAGTCTATTACTATAAAAATAAAGACCATCTATTGCAGGAAAGAATAGCAAATAGAATTTCCTTGAGTATGTTAGTTCCATAGAAATGAAGATGACTTCCTGGCATAATATATAATATTAAAGATAGCAACTTTAAATTTGTTATCTTCAAAATATTATTTTCAAATTGAGAACCTTTGAAAAATGAGTTCAGTGTTTTTAAGAAGAGTAAGAAATATGAAAAGGCTTTTCTGGGCTCTTAATTAACATGGTTTTAAAGGAGCTTCTCAGTTTGTTTTTTTAGAAGACATTAATAGGAAACATTATGGCTCATAGGCATGCATGTATGCATACAATATAATTTTTCTCACACACACACACACACACACACACACACACACTTTATGTAGAGGAAGGAAGAATCACTTATGTTAAGATTACTGTACCTAAAATAGAAAATCAGACCAATATGACTTTCAAGGTCCTGAGTTAATTTAAAGCTTATATTATAGGTTATGGTCCTCATTTGAACAAAGTCAGTTATTGTGAAATGCAGCGTAAAACTTTTTTTTGCATAAAAACTTGCTTTATTTTTATAGGATGAGAAAAATCAGTTGATGACGACAAATGTCTGGTTGAAACAGGTATGTGCAAAATATGGAATATTCTGCTGTACCGGACTAAAATGTGAAATTGTAATAAATAAATAAATAAATAAAAGTGTGTGTGTTACAGGAACTTTATCTAAAAACTGCATAAGCTTAAATTTTGTCTTGTGTACCTGATTTAAAAAAAAAAAAGAATAGCTGTAACACTGTTTCAAAATAATACACCTTTCTAAAACCACCTCTCTTTACAAAAACAAAACTGTAATAAGAGATTCAAACATTTTAGGCAAGTTTATTTTATAAGTTCAAAATGGAAGACATATTTTAACTTTTCTGTAAAGAAGCACTAGTTAGGGATTTTATGGTCAAAACCTATTGTAAGCAAGATGCTCTATAACTGTTTGTGAAAGTATTGTAAAGTTATCCTGCCAAGATAGTATGATGAGCCTTTTGGGATTAACATAGTCTATGATTTCAGAATCTATAAACTACCTGGAGTTCTAGGGAAATGGACTGGCTGTAAAAAAAAAAAAAAAAACCCAACTGTATTAACTTGTAAACAGAAAATGTCTGCAAGTTTATAACAGTCGCCACCCAGAGCTAAACTTGGAAATGATTATTAGCATTGCATTTATTTATCACCAAGTTCCCCTTAAACTGTTATACATTCATTTTTAAATTTTGGCCTACAGTCCTTTTATATCACATTTACTTCAAAGAACCTCAAGGGCTGCTACCCATATAAGCACATAGCTGGCTAACTTTGTATGTGTGGAACTCCCTCCATTTTTCCATTTCCCCTAATATATCTGCCAGGTACAGCTGGGTATTTCTTTTTGGCTTAACTATTAAATGGTCAAATGAAGGCAGAAGTAGACACAGCTCCTTCCCATCTTGAAGCAGCAGACTGCCTCAGTCTTTGCCCTCTTGCCCTCCCAGACTGTCACTTCAAGTACTTAGGTTTGATGGTCAGTTCTGTTGTGGGTTAGGCACATTATTTCATTTAAAGGTCTGTCCAAATGATGATCTTTTTGGAGATTCAATTTGTCTCCTGCACTTCTATATTTTTTTAAATTCAGAAATATTACCAAAATGCTAAGATACTCATAGTGGTGGTCTTTCCAGTACTGATGGAACCAGGAAGTAATAGCAGTCTCGTGAAACAATGGGATTTGTTTTCTGAGTATAGATTTTAGACCACCTTTATGGAAGTGCCCAAACTTTTGGACATTCATTCAAACCAAATCTTTAAAGTTTATCCATTACTATTTATAACTGTTTCCATGTAGGTGAATGTTTTTTTAATTGAAGAGGCTTTAAATATTTGAACGCCATGTAGAAGTGTTGTCAAACAAAATGTATTTAAAACTGAAGAACTGAAAACTGAACCAGGCACTTCTTGGATCAATGTAGTAATTAAAATCGTGGAAACAAGAAGTCTGATCTTTATTAACTTGTTTCTGCTTTTGTTGCTTTCATGCCCACATTGCCTATGTTAAGTTTTCTTTACAGACATGATTTTTTTAACATTTATCATGTACTTACAGGAATGGATAGATGTAAAATTAAGGTGGAATCCTGAAGACTATGCTGGAATAACATCTATTCGTGTCCCATCAGATTCCATTTGGATCCCAGACATTGTGTTGTATGACAAGTAAGATTGTAATCTATTTTTATAAAATAAACGACTCCTTCCATTCTTTACCCAACCTGCTCATAAAATAAGATTTAGGTTCTACAGAATAGTTTGTAATCATATGACTGTCATAACACAGTACAAGTAAGGAGGCTGAGTTTATGAATGTACGGGCAACCTTAAATTTGGCATTTCCAGACTTTTGACTAGTTAGTTTTGCAACCTTTATTTTGTTCTTATATCCATTTTTTAGATATTTAAAAAGAAAAAAATAGCTACACAAATTCCTTCATGCAGCACTATTTGTTAGTCAGATATTGGATGTAGTTCTGTTCAAGGACAGTAATAATGCAAAGGATCTTTCAGAATTCCTCCTGGATTTTTGAGTCCCGAGTATACATAATAGTCTGTAGCCATCCATACACATTCTTCTGGATTGGACTTTCACACTGACATAAAGTAAGTTTCATGCATAGAAATAATAGAACCTAGGTAGAATGAACGTCAAATGAAAGTTTCTACTTAACTTTAATATATATGTACAGTCCCTGTAGTTTAACGGTATAATATTTGATAATAAGTCTATTATTGTATTTATAGAATAATGTTTGGTGCCATGTGGATTTTTTAAATATCTGTATTATTTGGCTACATTAAAATAGATTTTTGCTAGACTACCACTGAGGACATCTTTTGACTAGGGACTATGTCCAGGAAAAAAATCAGATGTCTAGTGCTTTTTTAATGAAGCACTAAAACTGTTTAAAAAAGTATCATATTTTTTTAAAACGATAAATTGTTTATAATACCCTTTTCCCCAAGCAACTAAATGGTTTTTGCTTAAAAAAACAAAACAATTACTGAGCTGTAAACAAATGCACAAAATTTATTCTCAGAAGATAAAAATCTCATAAGTATCTGAAATGACACTTTGGAAGGACATCATTATAATCACTTGTCCAAAATGAATGTAATAGTAACATTTGTTTGTTTGTTTGTTTGTTTGTTTTTTAGTGCAGATGGCCGTTTTGAAGGAACTTCTACAAAAACAGTAGTAAAATATGATGGCACCATTGCTTGGACTCCACCAGCAAACTACAAAAGTTCCTGTACTATTGATGTTACCTTCTTTCCATTTGACCTCCAAAACTGCTCTATGAAATTTGGTTCCTGGACTTATGATGGCTCACAGGTTGATATAATTCTAGAAGATTATGATGTTGACAAGAGAGATTTTTTTGATAATGGAGAATGGGAAATAGTAACTGCAACAGGAAGCAAAGGGAACAGAACCGATGGATGCTGCTGGTATCCATTTATTACTTATTCATTTGTAATCAGACGTTTGCCTCTTTTCTACACATTGTTTCTCATTATTCCCTGTATAGGACTTTCATTTTTAACTATCCTTGTCTTCTATCTTCCTTCAAATGAAGGTGAAAAAATCTCTCTCTGTACTTCGGTACTGGTATCTTTGACTGTCTTCCTTCTTGTCATAGAAGAGATTATTCCATCATCTTCTAAAGTTATACCACTTATTGGAGAATATTTGGTGTTTACTATGATTTTTGTGACACTGTCCATTGTGATAACTGTCTTTGCTATTAACATTCATCATCGTTCCTCCTCTACACACAATGCTATGGCACCATGGGTCCGCAAGATATTTCTTCATAAACTTCCAAAACTACTTTGCATGAGAAGTCATGTAGATAGGTATTTTGCTCAGAAAGAAGAAAGTAGCAATATCAGTGGATCAGAATCATCCAGGAATACCTTGGAAGCAGCTCTAGATTCTATCCGATACATTACAAGACATGTCATGAAGGAGAATGAAGTTCGTGAGGTGTGTGTATTAGTCACGTTGCACTCATTTGGTAAGATTAGAAATTAGAATGTGAATCTAAATGATGGCATAGAGTACCCATCCCTTACTATATTTTAAGTATGCTGATGACCAGAGGTAGCTTGATATGAGTTAGCATTTCTGTCTGTCATGCTTTTAATGGAAGCAGTGCTATGACCTTGTAAAAAAAACAAACAACCACCCCCCCACCCCCCTCAAAGTATGGCAAAGTGTATGCATTTATCAAGGCTTCTTGTACAATCTCTATGGGTCTTTTGTTCAGTCACGCCTGTTGGGTCTTTCTAAAAATATATTCTTTTAATTATTTATAAAGGCCTGTAGAGTTATTTAGCCAATTACATTAGTCTACATTGTAAATCTTTTTTTTTACTTTTTATTTTTGCCAGGAGTGTATTTAGGAGTTGTTCTATTTTTCCATTATTACAGGGAAGTAAATGCTCATAATTCTGATCCTTTTTAAGCTTAAAAGTCATTGCTTTTTATAATAAAAAAGTGGTGTAATGGTGTAGTACCAATTCTTCTTAAAAATATAACTTAAAAAAAAAGATTTCAAAATCAGAAATAGTACTACTTCGAAAAATGTAGCAGCTGTAAAATTAAAATCAAAACCATTCTTGATGTATAATAGACTTCTAAGTACTGCCCCAAGTTGTAGTTTGATTAAATGTAAGTAGTAACTGTTGTATATCTTATATCAGAGGAGTGTGTTTTAAATCAGCATTTTAAAAGGTGTTTTCAGTCCGTAAGTCCTCACCCCAAAGTTGCCTTTTTTAAATGGATGGTAAGTTATAGGATCATAGGAAAATACAATTGGAAGGGTACTCACAGGTCATGTAGTCCAGACCTCTACTCAAGGCAAGATTATCCCTAACTAAACCATCCCAGCCAAGTAGCTGTTTAATCTACTCTTGAAAACTTCCAAGGATGGAGATTCCACAACTTTTCTAGGCAGCCTGGTCCAGTGTGTTGTTATAAAGGTGACATCAGTTAAGAGCATCGTTCATGTATTTTTTCCTTGTCCAAAATTTGTTGGAACTTCTACAACCTAAACACACTATTTCAGGCCACTGTGGATGTGTTTGAAAATATATAACACAAAATAACAACTTTGCTGTGTGACTTGGTGCATAATAGCTTTTGACGCTATCATACAGTTGCTGCTGGCAAGGCACAGAACTCCCATAACACATCTTCCAGAACTGACCTGACCTACATGGGAAACTAGTCTTCATGGCTGTTGCCTATTCGCCTGGGTCTGCTTATCTGCTGCTTTCCCAAGTCTCTCTCCTGATGTTCATTCTCATGGGAGTAGCAGTCTACATGTGCATAACTAGCACATCCCTAAAATAGCATCTCTTTAGCCTCATGCTTTATATAGTACTAACTGAAGTACCTGTTCTTCGCTTGGGTTGTTATTTTTGTAGTTGCAGTGTTTGTTTATTTTCAAAGAACTAAGTACAGCATATTTAGGTCAAAAATATTGTTTATTTTTCAAGAACATAGTACAACATATTTAATATTTAACATGTAGTGAAAAAAAAGGCAGGCATCAATATAATAATGACAATTGAACTGAATTCAGTGTATCCAAAATGGAGTGGTATCAGTTTGTTATCTGAGAAGCGAAGTAATCCTAGTCAATAGAAGCCCCCAAAAGGGTCAAGTGAAAAATAACTTGCCTATAATTTTCCTCGGGTGGTATTCAGTGATTTTTAGAAGGTTGACTGTAGATAGGACCAGCCATTCTCAAGTTATAACTAAACATACATATAGATATGCACTTCATTTATATAGATATAGCTAGATATAGCTATATCTATATCTATAAATATGTAAATGAATATATTTTATATATAGCTATATATAGGGTCTACATATAGATATGCACTTCATTGATCGATCTATCTATCTATCTATCTATATATAAAAAAATAAAAAATGAAGTGCATATCTATATGTAGACCCTAGATATAGATACCTATTGATATCTATATATATAACTGAAGTGCATATCTATATGTAGACCCTATATATAGATATATAGAGATAGATCTCTCTCTCTCTATATATATATATATATATATATCTATAAAATATATAGATATATTAGATAGATGCAGAATATTTCTTGTGTACAGTATGCTATTAAATGTATAGTTTCTTTGTGTGTGTTATGGCTACAATATAGTTGTAGTCAGTACTGTCCTTTGAGTGTTATGACACTGATTCTTCTTTCATTCTCACTGCACAACTCCACTGATTTGGTTTTCATGGGAATAAATGAGAAGGCTTGTTTAGCTTCTCCAATGTGGTGTTGAACTGATAAGCTTTTTGCAATGAATTATTAGGGTGTTTTTAAGGAAAATGTGTGTAGTGGTATTTGAATGTGCATTTAGGAACTAGGCATTCAAATTACTGCATGCTTGAATATGAGCTGGAAGTGCTACAATTGCTTTTCTGCTTTATCAGTTGCATTCTCTGCCATAATGTTTCATTATCCTATTGTTTATAACTTAAATATGTTAAATACAGTTGTATGAGGAAAACACCAAAAAGAAATAAAAATGCAATCCAGGGTCTTGATTCTGCATTGAGATTCACACAGACACACCACCCTTCACCCATGCAAAGTTTATTGTAAGATCAGAACCTAAGCATAGAAACTAGAACTCTTGTAATTATTTTTAATGAGGGAGAATTGAGGGGAACAAAAGCAAGCAACAAGGAGTCCAAAACTTTAGAGGACCAATCCTGCAAACAGTTGGTAGCAAGTGATGTTCTTATTTTTGGTCTTGCCTTTAAAGTGGGACTGGGTTCGAAAGGTTTTCTCATTTAAGGCTGTATGTGGTAGAAGACATTTGCACAATGACATGACAAAAAGCCCTTATATTTCTTCCCCAGGGTTTAAAGATTTTGATAACTTCTTGGACTGTGAACTATTGACTATAATTTTACAAAAACCTTATAGGTTAACCATATTGAACTTTACCTTTTTAGTTAATGTAACTACAGAATAATGATGGTATTTTTTAGATAAATTCTATCACATGTAGGCAAAACTGCTGCTCAAATTTTGGATGAATTTGATTCTTGCTAAAAAGACCCTGAAGAACACAATTTTGTACATACACAAATTCCGTAAATACACAACTCCTGTCCTAAACCACAAAGCCCATTCCACTTATATTCTAATCTTATTGAGAAGAAACTCTGTTGTTGTATCTGACTGATGCAGATGGATGTTCAATTTAAGAACACCCACAAACTTCAGTATCTTCAGTTCCCAGGAAGTTCTGGGTGACCAGCATTTTTCAGGGTCAGGTTCTGATTTTGTAACTCTCGCTTATGGGCTATAATTAACATATGTTCTGACCTCTTCACAAAGGGGGATTGCTTTCCCGCTCTAGCTCACAGTGTAACAATACAAAAGTGAGATTGGTTGTTTATGAAGTTGGCATAATTGAAAATAGACACTGTGGATTGTCTGAATGAACACTGTATTTGATGTTGTATTTTTCAAGTGTTCTGTAGTATTCCATATTGATCATTTTTTGTTTTTTGTTTTTTAGGTGGTTGAAGACTGGAAATTTATAGCTCAGGTGCTTGATCGAATGTTTTTATGGACTTTTCTTCTGGTTTCAATAATTGGATCACTTGTGTTATTTATTCCTGTTATTCATAAATGGGCAAATATAATTGTACCAGTCCATATAGGAAGTACAAATACATAAACTATTTTTGAGGTGCCGTTACTCTTCTGAACCCTATTTATAAAAGGTGTCCAGTAGCTTTATAGTTATGCAAATTCTATATAGGGCACATTTTAAAAACTGAATTATAAAAACTGAAACATGTTTAAGCAACACATTTTAGAATAGAGTATTGCTGAGTGTTAGTCTAAGAATTAATTTCTACATCAGTCTGGATAAAACCAGAAAGACTTTTTCAGGCATTTGCATGTATGCTATGCCAAAAAAATACAATAGGTTGCTACCTATTGGGTGCATCTACATGTCGCCCTACTGTGATGTAGCAGTAGACGCACGTGATTGCCAGCTACGTTGCCATAGTGGTGCACTCCCTGGGTATAGTGCACTGCTATAGCGACGTAGTGGCAAAATGTAACTATGTGCCATGCGCAAGGCACAGTAACTGCCCATACTTCACTCTACTTTTGTTCTTCCAAACGGAAATACTAAACCATTGTGGCATAGCAGTGTCACTGTATGGCAATGTGTAGGCACACCCATTGAGAAGTGGAGGGATTTAAAAAGCCAAACAAACTCGGAATTTGTTTTTAGATGCTAATTGTTTAGAACTGGCAAAATACTATATAAACTGTTTGACTGAGTATTAAACATTTGCACATGTTTATGTAATAGTGTTCTGGTTTGTTACTTCAGTTTATTACTGTGGGTGGCAGAGGATTTTTAAGAAAACTAACTCTTTTAAGCATGTTGGAAAATTCCAGGGCTTTTTTTAGAACAAATGAAAATGCAAAGAATTCAAAAACAATAACCAGCTATTCTAACGCACTTGTTAAAATATGTAAATAAAAATAGTGATCTGCACTTCCATATTTTGTCTTTATTTGTCAATTCTCAATAAAAATTGCTCAACTTTAAAGACAGCTCAGTTTTCACCTGAAGTTTGAAATTAGTACTACATTGCAGTTCTATAATGGTTCATAAAAAAATAAGCATCAGCACCTTTATAAGGCAGAGATATATATTACTGTCCGACACTCCACATATTGAAAACGAGGGAAAGAATTCGGACAGACAGGAAATCAAGCTGTCTTGATTTGGGGCTGGGGTAGGGGGGAATCCAGGATTTTTATGGTAAGACTTTTTTTCTACTACTGTTTACAAAAAACATTTTGAGGGGAAAAAAATGGTTTTATAAGAAATACCTTTTGGGGGAATTCCTTTCTTTGAATGAAACTTACTCGAGAGATGCATAAGCTGTTTAGTTAACTAAATAGAATCAATTGAATTTTCACACATTTATTAACTGATAGTCCTGAAATTGTCCTATCATTTTTAGAGCTGGGCCTAGGACTGAATTATAAATAATTGAGCTTAAGTGGTGCCACATGATCTATTTTTTGGATTTTTCGGATTTTTTTGGTATGGCAACGTGTCAATACTACATGATAAAAGTACATTTTAGGCATTTATTTTATTGCATATTAATTTAGTTTAAAGTTCTCTGTCAGTTTTTTTAATGCAAGTAAAAATGCTCTTTAATAGTATCTGGTCTACCCCTGATTTTTCCTGTACTATATTGTTATAACACTTCATATGGAAGCTATGTTCTAACATACAGGTTTATTTAATTAAGAAATACCTTGTTTAAATAGCAAATATAAATATTTAGGTAACTATTTAATTGCCGTGAAAAGATGATGTAATATGCAATAAGTTTAGCAATTTGTCTCTCTTATGGAAAATGACAGATTTCTTCCTTAGAGGTAAATGACACTGATTGCAGCCTTGAAGACTTGGGCTCTTCTTTTTCCTCTTTCTTCGCAATAATCACCAGTGTCCTGCGGCTGACCATCACACTGGAATTTTTCTTTTCTTTGCTTTTGAACATATACAGTAACCCAGCTGATTGTTGCCTCACATCCCATTTCTTCCCTTTGGAGTAATTTTCTTGGTTTTGTATTACAATTTTGTTAGCCGTGTAAGCAAGAGGACAAGTATATATGCTTGAGATGTGCCTAACTTTCCTTCTTTGCTTGTAATCAGACATTTAACTCTGCTTACATTGTCTTGTTTAATTTGAAAGGTTGACTTCCAACAAGGTACTGTACCCACATCTAAGACAACTAATTGTCTAATTTTAAGAGGATCCATCAATAATTAAATTCTAGACATGGGAAATTGATATATTTGTTATAATTTTTCCATGTCTACAGTCTAATTTTTGGAGGCTCATCTTAAATTAATTCCCCCAAACTGCTGCTGTGGGGCAGACAGCAGCAGGGGGGCTGGTGGTAGTAGGACAGGCAACAGGAGAGTTGAGCCTTGACTGCTGTCTGTTGCCACCAGCCCCACACAGCTGTGTGCTCCCCTCCTGGTGCCTGCATGCTCCATGCTTGTACACCCTGCTGCTTGCTATCCTCCCACTTGCACCCCTCTCACCTTCTCTCCCCCATCCCAGCACCTGCCCCTCTGCTGCTTCCCTTCCTTTCTGTCTGTCCCCTCCCTCATGCCTCACCTGATGCTTGCCCCTCCCTCCAGTGCCTACATCCCCAGCACCTATCCTCCCCTTCTGCCTGCCCCCTCCTCATCCCGGGGTCTGAGTCAGAGCTCCCCCCTGCTTGTACTCAAATCTAAGATGAGGGGCTTTCCCCATGTTGAATGGGGAAAGAAACCTTGCCTTAGATTCAGATAAGTATGGTATGTGATTTGACCTATGGTATAACTTCAGTATCTTGGTAACTTTTAGCAGATGGTCAGCACCCATGTGTGCTGGGTGCAGAACTTGTTTTGGATGCTTGTGTCCTCTTACATTCATAGAATTATAGAAAATTAGGCTTGGAAGGGACCTCAGGTGGTCATCTAGTCCAACCTCCTGCTCAAAGCAGGAGCATCCCCAATGAGATCATCCTAACCAAGGTTTGTCTAGCTAGGCCTTAAAAACCTCCAAGGATGGAGAGTCACAACCTCTCTTGATAACTCGTTCCAGTGCTTTACTGGCATGAGAGAGTGAGAAACTTCCTCCTAATATCTAACCTAAACTTCCTTTGTTGCCACTTGAGTCCATTGCTCCTTGTTCTGTCATCTGCCATCACTGGGAGCAGTTTAGCTCCATCCTCTTTAGAACTACCTTTAAGGTAGTTTAAGGCTGCTATTAACTCCCCCCCCCTCCCCCCCCCATCTTCTCTTCTCCAGACTAAGTATGCCCAGCTCCCTCAGCCTCTCTTTACAAGTGATGTGCCCCAGGTCCCTAACCATTTTTGTTGCCCTCTGCTGGAATGTCTCCAATTTGTTCACATCTTTTCTGTAGTGGGGGGCCTAAAATTGGACACAGTACTCCAGATGTGGCCTCACAAGTGCTGAATAGAGGGGAAGAATCTCTTTCTTTGATCTGCTGGCAACACCCCTACTAATACAGCCCAGTATGCCGTTAGCCTTCTCAACAGCAAGAGCACACTGTTGGCTCATATTTAGCTTATTATCCACTGTAGCCCCCAGGTCCTTTTCTGCAGAGCTGCTGATTAGCCAGTTGGTGCCCTGCCTGTACCAATGAATGGGACTGTTCTGTCCTAAGTGCGGGACTTTGCACTTCTCCTTGTTGGGATATCTTTTGGCCCAATCCTCCAATTTGTTGAAGTTTCTCTGAATCCTAGCTCTACCCTGCAGCGTACCTAGTATTCCCCCCAGATTGGTGTCATCTGCAAACTTGTTGATGGTGCACTCTATGCCATCTTCCAGGTCGTTGATGAAGATATTGGACATAACCAGCCCCAGGATGGACCCCTGTAACACTCCACTTGATACCAACTGCGAACTGGATATCAAGGCATTGATTATTACCCTCTAAGCCCAACGATCCAGCCAGTTTTCTATCCACCTTACAATCCATTCATCAAACCTGTACTCCTTTAGTTTGCTTGTGAGAATGTTGAGGGAGACTGTATCAAAAGTCTTGCTCAGGTCCAATGCTCTTCCTGTATCCATAGAGCCAGTCATCTAATCATAGAAGGTATGACTTGCCCTTGGTGAATCCATGCTGACTGTTCCTAATCACCTTCTTCAAGTGCTTAAAAATGGATTCTTTGAGGACTTGCTCCATGATTTTTCCAATAGCTGAGGTGAGGCTGCCTGGCCTGCAGTTCCTTGGATCCTCCTTCTTCCCTTTCTTAAAGGTAGGCACTATATTTGCCCTTTTCCAATCATCTGGGACCTCCCCAAATCACTACAAGTTTTCAAAGATGATGGCCGGCAGCTTTGCAATCGCATCAGCTAACTCCCCTGGCAACTCCGGATGCATTACATCCGGCTCCACGGACTTGTATATGTCCAGCTTTTCTAAATAGTCCCTAACCTGTTCTTTTTGCCACTGTTGGCTGCTCACCTCCTCCCCAAACTGTGCTGACTGGTGCAGCAATCTGGGAGCTGACCTTGCCTGTGAAGACCGAGATGAAAAAAACATTGAGTACTTCAGCCCTTTTCTGTGTTATCTGTTACTAGGTTGCCTCCCCCATTCAGTAAGGGACCCACATTTTCCCTGATCATCTTCTTGTTGCTAATCCTTGTAGAAACCCTTGTTACTCTTCACACTGCTTGCTAATGTTATCTGTGTTTCTGCTTGCATTCACAGTGCACGTATTTTTACTTCTGCAACTACATTATTTGAATGAGAGGGAGCATGGTCTTCCCAGCTGGTTCCAAACTCTTCTGCTCCCATTTTTCCCCTTTTTGCAACAGGTACAATGGGGACCAGTCCTTGTATAGGTATTAATATCCATTTTGCCAAATTTGTGAAGTGTTTTTAATCACTTCTATAGTTTAGACACATTACTTAAGGATACAATGGTGAACACCAGAATTTCTAGGTGTAGAGGTTCATCCTCAGGTGTTCCTTTGTGTTTTCTAAAACCAAACTATTTTTAAGAGTTCCTTACTCCTGGGTCTGTGTTTTTTGTGAATTACTCAGTTCAGAGTGCGGAAATTACCTAGTTATATAACACTCCATCTGTCACACATGCAAAATAAAGAAACAACATATACTCTTGTGACAACTTGACGTTTTATGAAAATAAAGAGAATTACATCTGATGATAATATCAACTGCTGTATTTCCAAGAACATTTCCAAGGAATCTGGTATAGAGAGAATGACTTGCATTTATACCAAATATCACCCCATTACAAATACTTAGGTATGTTGTTTACTTTTGGTCGTATATCATGCTCCTATATGCATATCTATGGTTGTTGTCAAAACATACATTATGGGATGTATGCCTTAGAAACAGTTTACCCACACTTTACAGGATTTTTTAATCTGCTGAAACTAGTACTTTGCTGTTGCATGGCACTCTCACTATTTTAATCCTTCAGTGAGCTAGTGATTGATGCCAAATGGGGGTTGTGTGTGGTGCTTTAGTTTAGTTTTGTATGGTACAACTTGGTTTGAATATCTTGACATCTTGCTGACAATCTTGTTTTGTGACACAGAAAGGGATGGGCAGAATCAAACGATGGCTGCTGGTTATCTTCATATATTAACCAGTTTTAAAATAACTTTCCCACTCTTCAATCCCCTCAACTTTTTTATTGATTTTTACATACATCGTATAACAAGAAGCTGCACTTCAGCAAAATAGTTGAGCATCTAAACTTTTTAAAGGCTGTATGCTTGAATTGTATCACTTATGACCTTGCTTTCAGAAGATCTCATCACATCCTAAAGGGATTTTATTTAATTTAGCAGAAGCCATGCTGTTGAAAATAATGTTAGCCTTGGCCTTGTGAACACTGTATGGGAATACTGTGGTTTTCTCCTTCTATTGATGACATCTGTGTTGAGCCCTCAACACGCTCCTGTACA